CCCAAAAAACAACAGTTTGGAGACCTCGGGTGCCAAATGGCCCCCAGGTATGCACACTGGGCATGACTGCATTTTTGCACCTTTTTTCTTTCAACAGAAAACAAAGGTTTTTGGGTTTTTTTGAGGACCGTACAGCATCTTTGGCATCGATGTCTTGAAAACGTTGGTTTGTTGTTTTCGGACAGTATGGGCCTGGGACTGCCAAAACGCAGTACGGTCCCCAAACAAACCATCTTTTAGGCAAAAGCAAGCACTCAACAGCACGGAGCAAATTCTGGGGGTATCCTCGCAGCACGGGCCTGAAGGCTTCATGATTGTTAAGGGTTTCTCGGGTTCAGGCTTTTGGGATTCCAGTTTGTCAAGGTTTCCTTCAAGAAGATGGGTGGCACATAGCCTAATCACATCATTTGGTCACTTCTCTAAGTTACGATCAGGGTTTAGGGTTCAGGGTTGGTGCACTCAGTGTCCTTGTTGGGCTGGTTCTGGCGATGATATCGGTTCCCCAAGATGGGTCACAAGTAAGATTCGCTTCTCCTTGTGGTAAAATCAAAATTGCAAAATCCGGCTGGGTCAAGCTGGTAATCTTCTAAACATGTCTTTCTGAAGTTCTCAAAGACATCAGTTAGTAACAAGACATGTGTTCCAAGATATAGGTCGTGATACATTCCCAGATATTGAATGTTGAAGTGCTCCCATATCTTCTTCGCCCTTTCGTATTCACTATGTTTGATCCCTTCCTGCTTCTTTACTTGGTAGCTGCGCGTCACTAAACTTATTTCTTCGACAAAGTAGTCGTAAGGATAAACGCCCTTGTCTGTTAGCAGGTCCAAGTCTTCATCGTTAGTAATGTATACACTCTTCTTACCATGATAAAAGTTATTCTGACCGTTCTCCCTCTTCTCACCATTCCCATACTTAGTTAGTTTAACTAGCTTCTCTAAGGAAGACAACAAGAACCTGAAGCTGTCCTTAAACTCAAGTTGGTTCACCGTGAAGGCTATGAACTTTCGCTGTTCTGTGCTATGACACATGTTTTATCCTTGTCAATGTTTAGCTTCTCCATATGTGCTATGAGTAGGCGGGCGTCGTAGTTCTTAAGATAGTGAAAAAAATACTGGATCTTGAAATAATTGAACCAATAACGCAAGTTACATTTGTTGTGTGCCGCTCCTCTTTTCACACCTGGGTCTGTGCTATCAAACTTGCAATTGCATAAGAAATCAAGGTTAGCCTTCGCGTGTTCTTCTTTCTGATTCTCTGTCCATGGGTTTTTTTTCTTTCATCTTTTCCAAAATTTCGTCTGTTACACAGAATCTGTCCATACAATCTTCGCCCATGAAGGGTATGGGTGGCTTCGTTGGTTATGCTGTTTACTACATTTAAAATAAAACCGCAAGGTTGGTGATGCCGATAAATGCCCTTGATTCCTTCGGTTGTTGGCGTCGCTAAACACTCAAAGTCACCGTATATGACATAGGGGCACTTAAGCCTTTTGTAGTGCGTTTTAAAGAACATCTTTTCGTCTTCCTTGAGCATCTTGGTTTGTTGAACTTCGTTCGCCATCACACAAGTGCTTATTCAATAAAGTCTCTTTGTTAAATCCCCACTGGCAATAACGACAGTGAAATAATTTCTCTCTGCGTCTGTTGATTTTGAGATCCCATAAGGCGACTGTAATCGTTTGTAAAACATATTCTAACAATAGTAAATTAATGTGACGCGATGGTTTCTGAACTTTCGTTTTCCTGTTCACTGCTATTGTGTTTGTTCCGTTTGGATCAATGGCGCAAACATTCACTGATATAGCATGTTTATTGATTGCTGCACAGTGATCTATATCACCAAGCGATGCTGGGAATTCGACACCTGCCCCAATTAATTATTCCGTCCTTCAGGCCTCTATAATGATACATTCGGTCTGAATGATCCTTCTTCGTTATCTCATAAAACTTACAGTGGACACAGTATTTGAAACACATCTCGTCTTCATTTTGATGTTAATACAAGCCTTTTGTTAATACAAGCCTTTTTTATCTGCTATCCACTTGGGCAGGTCAATATGTTTATCCGCCCTTGTTCGGTTGCATTTGTCATAGTGCATGATGGTCCTCTCAATCTTCTCTATTTGATAGCTCGATCTTCTCAGTTGAGAGTTCTCAATCTTGTGGTCTATGTCGGATGCTAGTTTGTTTATTGTAGCTGTTAGCTCTTTGTGGCTATTGGTCGTATAAACCCTACTCGGCATCCTGTATCTTTAGGTGTTCTGGGTGTCTACATGAAACAGCTACATCTATTCTGATGTTCTTATTGTTGTTTCTGTTTACAAACTCTTTTAGTCTCGGTTCTTGGTATGTTCAAAAGGACAAGCCCTTATATCCTTGTAAGTCAAAATTAGTAATCGAATATGAACTGGCGTATCGTTTTAAATGCGTTCCTCTCCTCTGTAACGTTGGCTTTCTGGCTGATGGCGTATTTCTTCAAGCTTTTCTAACTGCTGTGCCTTTGGTCGCAAGCTTAAAATGTTGTATCTTTCCAACTACTGCGTTTTAGCTGTTTGTTCCAGCTTGGCTTTGAATTTGGTGGCTGTTGGCTTTTCCCTATTATAATGATATTCTCTGTCGTTTATTATAACCTTTTTGTAAGCTTCATTTCCTTGAGCTTTAGTGTTGCCCGCGCCACTGCTTAATGCATATTCCAACACATTCCATTTAGATATAAGTCGTTTTGTTTAAGTGTTTTTTTGTATAGGGTTTCTCGTTGGTGCTTTGGGTTTGTCGGCTTGGGGTTGCAACATTTCCCTCGGTACGTGTGTAAAAACTATTTTGATGTGTTTGTTTTGCTCGTTTTTGGCGGCGGTCTCATGAGCCCTGCGTTTCTTGGGGGCGGTTGGGGCGGGGGGGAGGGGGCGAAGGCGACGTAGTTTTACAGTCAAGTCTTATGGTTCGCGTCCTGCCTTTGCCGTCAATACCCTTAACACCTAACACTAAACCCTTGACCCTGAACCCTTACCAACTTACCACGAACTCTTAACCCTGAACCCTAAACCCTTAACCCTAAAACCTAAACCCTCACCACTAAATTCTCCACCCTGAACCCTAAACCCCTAACTCCAAGCCCTGCACCCGTACCACTGAACTCTTAACCCTGAGCTCTAGACCCTTGCCCCCAAACCCTGAACCCTCCCTTTTCAGTTCCTGGCAATGTTGGGATTCCGCCTGGCGCCGATTTCTTCAGCAAACAATGGGTTTGACTCGAGTCCTCACTAGCATCACCAGAAAAGATGTTCTGAGAATGTGAACCTTACCCTGACCCTTAACCTGAAGAGACGGGACGGAAAAGGTTGCGCTTTCGGATGTTGGGCTGTTTTGTCTGTGCTTTGGTTCAGAACGCTGAGGTTTGGGGCCCGACACATGCAAAGCCCCAACAAATACCCATAAAAACGGTAAAACGTCGTCTAAACAAGTCTCCCGCCTTTCCGCCGCCCTTCGAGTAATCTGTGTTGTGTCTTCCCGGTTCCCAAAACCGGAATTGCTCCAAAACCTGGGTTTGTTGGCACGTTGGAACTTGAATACACCCCAACGCATGCCAAAAAGCGCAGGGCACACCAGCCCGCGTGCTACCTTGTTGTTGTAAGGCATTTTGCACTGTCTTTTGATTTTTGTTGGTTTTGGTCTTTTTAAGACCGTCCTCTAGAGTTCGTTGTTGTATTTTGATGTTTTATTTGGTTCGCTTGTTTTCGTGGTGTTTGCTAATTCAAAATCAAACTTGTGAACGTTGTCCTGAAATTTGGGGTCTGAGTGTCCTGAGTTTTGGGGTGTCCTGCAGAACCGGGTCTGGAGGACAGGGTGTCCTGAGATTTGGGGTCTGGGAGACGGAGACTGGGAGATGGAGACTGGGAGGCTGGTAGTCTGGAGACTGCGAGGCTGGTAGTCTTGACTGGGAGACTGGGGAGTTCTGACACTGTCAGTCTGCAGACTGGTGCGTTGGTAGTCTTGGATTTGTCGCGTTTGACATCATCAGTCTTGAGACGAATCTGTTAGGATTATGAGAAACAGAGCAAAGACTGAATCGACTTAAGTCGTAAACTAATGAATATTGTAGGTATGGAGAAGCTATACATCAAAAAACAAAAGGTTCGAAGCGGTTCAAAAAGAATATGAAACAGTTAAGACAAAGCTTCATTCAATTACAATGATTAAAAAAGATGTTAGATCATTTTGATGAAGATGATCTTAAGATTATTGACAAGGAAATTGACACACGATGTGAAAAAACACAACTAAGCAAGGAATACAAAAATGACATACTGATGGATGTTCAAGAATTTGAAGGACTAACAAGTAAAAGCGATAATGGCAGCGATGATAACTCGCTTCATTGTAAAGTAAAAGAGGAAATGAATTTGATACTCCTTTACATGCTTCTTATGGCTATTTGACTAGGTTGAGTTTAAAAAGCCCCTTCAAGTAAACATTTTGTAAAAAAAAGCTGTGTAGGGCGTGAAAATAAAACGCTTAAGGTGCCGAAGTCATTTTTGTCAACATTTCGGAACATTGGTCTTGACCTTTGAAGTTGACCCAAGTAGCGCGAAAAGTTAAACAATTGGCTAACCAAAGTTCTACAATCGTGACTTAAATTCTACGAACCGCCCAAATACAACCCAATGAGGTAACAAGGTTAACAAATTGAATTGACAAAACGAATGAGACACCGCTTCGCGGAAAAGCGAAGCACAGACCCAAATAATGAACTCAGGGGGTAGAGAGTGAAAATAAAAAAGCGGGAGGAGGCGGGGAGTGAGAACAAGCGGAAACAACAAATGAAGCAGACCCGACAACATACAACGATCCACGCCTGAGAAACCCCTTTTTTTTCAAGGGGGAGGGGGGGGGGGGGTGGGGGTACCATGTATCTGTATGTGGATATGTGATATCCTTGACTTGCTTCATATTATATTATCTCACCTCTACAGAACTTCAACTGGTTGCTCACAGTACGGCTCAGCCTGGGCCCAAGAAGCAGCTCTTCGACTTGAGGAAGGAACTGGAAGACTTCCTTGGCAGCCTGCAAAAGCGCAGGCTGTGCAAATGTCCTGAACTGACACGTGGCAAGCCCTCCTTGTTGGCATTTTTGTCCGGGTGCCACTCCAACTGCCAGCGCCTTGCAAAGAGACTTGGGCGATGCAGCTGACGACGGTAGCAATCTAAGCGCCTCAAAGACTTCTTTCTCGCTGCCGTGCTCGTGCCCTCGCGAAACAATGCAAGCGCATCTGCGCGTGGCCTACAAAAACTATCGCGCAGCAAACGTTGCTGGCCTTGGCGATCATGCACCCTGCTTCCTGTGAAGAGAAACTCTTGACTCTTGTAGAAGCCACGCAAGCAACACGCAAGCGTTAGATGCGCCTTGAGCAGTCCAGCCTTGACTTGTTCGACAGACCTCTCCATCACCTGAGAGGCGATGGACTTCGTGGAATGTCATGGAGTGCTCCAGTCGCGATTGCAACAGGGAATGCCTGACAGACCTGCACCTTGAGCTTCAGCAGATCCTCGCGTTTCGATTTGGAGAAACCGATTCTGACCCCCAAAGCTGTAATTCAGAGACATACCACGTCGATCCCATGCGCCCTTCCCGTGCTGCTGCCACGATTCCCCAGCTCGCATCTTTTCACAGCCTAGTCACACGCCTCATCCCGGGCCCGCTGGTGGCTGTTTCAACTGCTATCTGCTTGCATGTCTGCAGCATTGCCACTGGGGACACCAATGCTCCTGGCGTGACGGGAAGATGCGGAGTGCCTGCTCAACGTCCTCGCCGCCAACGCGTTGAACGTGCTCTCAGGGTTGCAGCTACGACTTGCTCCGTGCCTGCAACGCTTCATCATGCTGGCCCTGCTCGTGCCGGGCGACGCAGCGACGGTACAAAGCTGCCGCCTTCACTTCGTTGGCCTGTGAAGGCTGGTAAGCTTCAAAGATCGTAGGCTGCCCGGAACTCCCCAATCCCACCTTAGTGATGTGTGCTGAAACAGCACGCAAAGTGGTATTGCAGTCCTCCTGGACGAAAGCAAAAGCAGCCTTCGGAACGTGCACTTCAAAACTATGCCAAAGCTAACCTTGCAGCTTATTTCAACTTAGGCTACACTGATGCAATAGTGAAGGTCCTCCGCAGCGCCCCACTGCCTTGCACACCAGCACAAACAGCACGCTTGTTGCATGAGATGTGCTATCGAAGCCATAGGTCATCCAGAGGCAACAGCTTTCCATGGAAAAGGGATCGGAAGTGTCGCAACGACCGCTCGGCAAACAAAATTTCGGCCCAGGAAGGCCCAGTCTAGGTGAGCTGCTCTTGCTTGATCCATGCAAGTGCTCGGTTGGCGGACAGTGTGGCACGCTGCCACAGATCCCAAGACCTGAGAAAGCCGAGAAAAAAAAACGCTGAGCCGCATAGATGTCCGGCACCAGATGCACTCAAACTGTTCAGGGCTGCTCTGTCCAAAGCCTTCTTGAAAATCTTGGGCTTTTGCAAATCATGGAGGGCTTCCGGAACCTTTCAAGCAGAAAAATGACTTTAAAGCTGAGCTGAAGTTTGCAGCAAAATGGGCCCGACGGATTCGAGAAGCTGGAGAGCATCCGACAAAGACTTGGAAGCTTTTTTGAACTCCTCGGTTGCTTCTCAGTTCTCACAGCCACAGCAACCGGGCATGCCAGGTGCAGACCTCGCGCGCCATCGCTTGCCGCGCTGTGTTTTTCAGATTCTCGATGTCCTTGCAGAATTCATGCAGCAGACAGAACTTGTCTCCTCTTCCAGCAAACGTCGCAGCTTAGCCAACACGATGCATGGAAAACTGCAGGGGCCTTTCCGGGAGGGCTTGACGGTTCCGTGGGCCTGGGAGCATGATTGAGAAATGAGCAAGTGCCATTTCAAGACATAAACGGAACAGCAAGGTCAGAGTCAGACCTGCACTCCTGCTGGCGGCGCTCGTTTGGGGCTCAGGCGTTGAACAAATGTAGAGCAGCAGACTACTACCAGTACCAAAGCGACAACTCTTCCGCCACGGGTCTCCACAACACAGTAGCTACATGCACAGGCCAGGTCTCCCGGACCGTCGGTGCCGGGTGTATGTTGCCGGCGAATGTTATGTAGCTCGCGCAAAGCCGACAAGCAAGCAGGTGTCCAAGGTTGTTGCAATCGCAATCGTGTTTCTCAGCAGGCTGAATCGAATTGCTACGTCCCTGCCGGCTGCAAAGGTCCTGGTCTCCCAGCGCAACACGCAAGGGGTTCCCATTGTAAATCCATCTACAAGAGCGACGCGCTGGGTTGTCAGTCGAATTGCTCCACACCGTGCCGCTTAATTCTCCGGCGCGGGGTATGACACATCGTCCAGCACAGTCTATTGTGGATTTCTGGCACAACCTCCCTGCCGGTCGTGTCCATCCCAGACGTGCATCCCATGTCCAGGATGTTTTTCGGTACACGAGTCGCTTGTTCCAGCTGCTTCTTTCCGAATCGATCAAGTACCGCGCGCGCTACATGGCCCTGATTTATGATGCCACACGGGAATACTTGAAAAAGGCAGGTAGTTATGCTAGATCATGCCTTTGTGTGAAGATACTCTTCTTCCGATGACTCTGCACGAGCTGCGACGTTGCAGGCGAAAGTCTCGGAATCGCCTGCCCTGTCTTGTGTTTCCTATCAAGAGACCTACGTGGCCTGTGGTAGCATCCTCGTGATTGGACAACCTGCAAGATGCAGCGTCGTGGAACGGCCCACCCACCTTTCCCACGACCTCTCTCTTTCCTTCTTTCTTCCTTTCCTTTCCTTTTCTCTCGCTCGCTCTCTCTCTCGCAGTCTTTGCTTTGCTTTGCTTTGCCTTGCTTTGCTTTGCCTTGTTTTGCCTTGCCTTGCCTTGCTTTGCTTTTGCCTTTAATTTTGTTTTTTTTGCTTTGTTTTGCTTGGCTTTTTGCTTGGCTTTTTGCTTTGTTTTTTGCTTTGCTTTTTGCTTGCTTTTTGCTTTGTTGGTTGCTTTGCTTCTTGGTTTGCTTGGATTGCTTTTGCTTGGCTTTTCGCTTCGCTTTTCGCTTCGCTTTTCGTTTCCCTTCTCACTTCGCTTGACTTGGCTTGGCTTGCCTTGCCTTGCCTTGGCCAGGACTACAAACTCAGCCCGGATCTTCAAAGTGTTGCAAACCCTGAAGACTCAGAAGCCACTTTGACTGGGAACACGTTGCTCCTAGCTCCACATAAGCTTCGCACGAACTCACCGCTCTTTCAACTTGATCCTTCTCCTTCAAGAAGGCAAACAAGTCACCAATCAATCAATCAACTGACGACTGTTGTCATGACAACATTCGAGAAGAACCAGGGCCTGCAACACTGCTTCCAGGCCTGCCTCACTAAGCGAGGGTGTCTACCAAACACGTCAAATGTTAAAAGCTGTTCTCCCTCTCTCTCTCTCTCTCTGTCTCTGTCTCTGTCTCTGTCTCTGTCTCTGTCTCTGTCTCTGTCTCTGTCTCTGTCTCTGTCTCTGTCTCTGTCTCTGTCTCTGTCTCTGTCTCTGTCTCTGTCTCTGTCTCTGTCTCTGTCTCTGTCGCTGTCTCTGTCTCTGTCTCTGTCTCTGTCTCTGTCTCTGTCTCTGTCTCTGTCTCTGTCTCTGTCTCTGTCTCTGTCTCTCTCTCTCTCTCTCTCTTTGCGCCTGTGCGTCTTCCAGTTCTTCTGTGACAGCGCAGATCCTATCAAAACCTAAGCAGCAAACACGAACTTGACTTCTGTCAATGCCTCGGGGATAACCACAAATCACGGTGAGAAACATCTGGGGAAAGGGCTACCTCGAAGGGCCCGTTGCGCACATCTCTTTTGCCTTTCGGCCTGCATCATCCAAGAAACCACAGAATCATCTAGGTGGCCGTTGCAAGAGCAACTGAATGCAACTGACATGCCCAGTGCGGCAGATGACGGCTGATTGCGGGCTGTATGAAGGCCTTGCGAAGTGCCTCCTCCGTGGCCTGCATATTCAAAAACAAGCACATGTCCTCAGCCTCACATGTCCGAAACCATGATCAATTTAAATAACCTTTGTCCACGAACCCCAAAAGAAGCGGAAGGAAGGTCTTTACCTTCCACGGCCTCCATGCGCTCAAAGAGGCCCTTGACGAAGCTTTGCGTCGTCGCGCGTTCAGCTTTCAGATTGGCATGCCAAACTTCCACAACACGCTGCGCTGACCAAAGCCTGGGGAAGAAAACCACAACACCATAAAGCAACCAGCTGAGGCAATGTGAGAACACGTCAGCACCAAAGGGCTAAGAACGTGACTGCTTCTGCAGCTCCATGTTTTGCTTCTGCAGCTCAATACAGAAGTGGCAAGGGCACATCGGCATGTCAGTCATGACTGCACGTGTGGCAGTCTTGACTGTTGGCAGATGCTTCGTACTCAAACACCTTTGGCAACAAGGGTCTTGTGTCTGCGCGCCGTGTCCCTCGTCAACATTGATGAATGAATGCACTCTCGTATTGCAACACCATTGCCGATACTTCTTACTGCGGTCATGGAGTGGCAGAGCCAAGGCGTTGAAATTTACCTCGGCTTCAGAGAAGAAATGCTGCGGTAATGGAAAGCATCCACAGTCATGTTGTTTTGGCGACAACAGGTTCCAAAGTTTAAATCATTCACTCATGCTTTTCCAACTTTTTAAAGGCGAACATGATTTCAGATTATTGATATGACCGTTCTAAGTGGATCAGCTGCACAAGTCAGACAGAGAAGCTTTCACCCACGCCTACTTCTGAGGGCGGCGCGGGAATAAATGGACCTCACCCTTCCAAGGCCGGACGCTTCTCGCCCTCAGCTCTAGGATGGCTCCTCGGCAGAACGGATAGGCCGATAACAATGACAGCTGAACTCATCTGGCGCAGTGCCTTACATTACAAGCATAAAGTAGAAGGAACATGGTGCAACGTGCTTTTCGGGTGTCTTGCAACTGTTGCTCTCAGCTTCTCCACAATGCTGTCTTGGCGTGACTGAGCCAAGGGAATTGATTGTCCAAAAGCCTGTTTCTTGTGAAAACCGCTCTCACTAAGCACATAGAAACAATAACAAACATGTACACGTGCATAACATACCTCCTAAGTAAAACGTCGGTAAGCTAACAGGCCCGGTCCGAGGCAGTTGAGGCATCAGTTCAAGTACCCCAGCCAGACGTAGAAACTATCTCGGCACTTCAGGTCACATGCCGCACACGCGGCCAGCGGCCAGGATCACGTTCAGAATCACTTCAGACGTGGCAGACCAGAACGGACTTTAGAGTGCGGCGAGCACGAGTCACACGCTGGCAAGACACTGAAGCCTGCTAACTCGCTTCGGGTCCCCAAAGTCTTCTTCGGGAGCATTGCGCTGCGACTCTGCTGCTCGTTTTCCATGACTCGAAGACTGTTGCGACACAGCGCCACCTCTTCCCC